ATTAATTTGTTTTGTGGAGAAGATAGGTTGTTTGGGAGAGATACAGTGGCTCATTTGGAATTTTTTGCCAAGGTGGAGATTTGTTATATTATGTGGCTAAAAAATTATTCCAACCCAACTTGCACAAAGCTTACATATTGGCTACAGAAATGTGATGGTGAAGCTTCCAAATTAGCTTCCAAAGGAAGCTTAGAAATTCTTAGGCAACAAGAATAATTCTTGGGCAACAAGTGGCATTTGGCTTCCAAAGGAAGCTTTGAAATATACTTAGACACCAAGTATTTTTGGGCTATATATAGTCTTGCATACATTTGATGAAAGGCATCCGAAATCAATTGAGTGAGTGTATCAGTATCATTTGGAGTGAGGGGCCTTGGGTGTATTTGGGTTTTGGGTGTGAGTCACTTTGTTTTATATCTCTTTATTTCCATTGTGAAATATTGTTTTGTCTTTTCCTCGTAAACGTAGGCATAACTGAATTACGTAAATCATTGTCTCGTTTGTGTGTGTGCTATTTTATTTTCTTGTCATTTATTTTTCTCTTGTTCTCATAAACTCCTATTCGATCATTTTTTCATAACAATTTTAATCTTGTTCTGAATACTTAGCAATTACAACAATTTGACCTTTTCTCAACAGAAAGTATGAGATGGTGAACTAATAAATAGAAATTAACTTCTCCAACTTTTGATCTACCACATGATGGCTAAATCTCCAACTTATTTGGGGATGTGCCACTTATCTGTAACTATAAAGACCCATGATTAGATCTTTGTTTTTCCATACAAGCCTCAAGAATATAATTCATCTTCAAGAACCTTGAACTCCATATAGTGATGGCTTCATACAACTGTTTCATCTTGGCTTTCTTCATTGTTTTGTCCTTCACAAATATTGATGGTAGCTTAACAACTCGTCGTCTTTTAGACACAGCTTCACCACCTGTACCAACCTTGCATGTTGTCCCCACTTTGCCTAAAGCAACATTACTCCCTTTGCCTTCAATCCTAACCTTGTTGTAGCCTACAATGCTAACATTGCCGGCTGTGCTAACTCTGCCGACTACTACATTGCCACCCTTGCCTACAGCCACCCAACCTTCTTTGCCTAAGGCCATGTTTCTTCCACTTCTAAGTATGCCCACCATGCTAAATGTGCCAAAGGTAATATTGCCACCACTACCAGCAACTTCATTGCCAACCATCCCCTCAATTCCCACAATCCCGACAACAATTCCCTCTATCCCATTCCTCTTCGCACCTCCTTCTGCCATTAGCCCTTGACAGAAGGGGTTGGTACTTGGCACTAGTACAGTTGTATGCCATATTAGATGGCCTCGTATCTTAGTGCATCGCTTATTCAATGGGGAGTTATTTGAAGCTTTCATATGCTATGAATTTTATGTATTTGTGAGCTTATTGTGTTCTACTTTTTTATATATTTTATTTGTACAATTAAGAATTTGCCATTTGTAACTTATATATTTTTTAGATATTATGACGGAGTTGTTCACATTATCTGTTAGAAATTTGTCTAAAATTCATTTATGACATGGCAAAAATCTATTGGATACAGAAGTGTGATGGTGAAGCTTCCAAATTAGCTTCCAATGAAAGCTTTGAAATTCTTGGGCAACAAGAATTATTCTAGGGCAGCAAGTGCTATTTGGCTTCCAAAGGAAGCTTTGTAATATACTTGGACACCAAGTATATTTTTGGTTATAAATAGCCTTGCACTCATTTGATGAAAAGCATCCGAGCAAAAAACAATATTCGGATCAAAAGAGTATATTCGTTTTGTATGTGTGAGAAAATCCTTTTGTGTGTGCAATCTTCAAGTGATACTTAAAGCTTGTCTTTGCCGGTGGTTTTTTCTCTTTGTGTAAACCATATACTATTTGGGTATTTCTTGAGAGTGTTGTGTGAGTCTTCTTTGTTGTTGAGTTAGTGGTGTGAGAAAAAAGATTATTGTGGGGAAGAACCAAAACGTTCTTCAGTTTATAATCTTCTTCTTTATAGTGATACAAATTATCATCGCCCTTGGACATAACCCTATTTGTGAGGGTGAACCACGTATAAATCCTTGTCTCATTTGTGTGTGTGCCTATTTTATTTTCTTGTCATTAATTTTCTCTTGTTCTCATAAACTTCTATTTGATCCTTATTTCATAACAAACTAGTATCAGAGCTCAGGTTCGTGTCATACGGTACTGTGCACAGATACGGTACTTTTCACCGAAAAATATTTTGGGGAGTTTTTTGAGATGTTGACTAGATACGAGATTGAAAAATTTGATGGCAAGATTAGTTTCAATCTTTGGCGCATTAAGATGCAAGCCTTGCTGACTCAGTAAGGTCTTGGCAAAGGAAGAGTTAAAAAGAGGAGTTACGATCCTAGTTCTCAAAAGGATTTGTGAGGGGACTACACAACATGGTGGGGAATGAAATCCATTTTCAGATGGCAACCGAAATTGCAGCAGTCCTTACAGGGAGGCAGACTCACGAGGGCATGTGTGATATTGACTTGCAATAATCTTGGTGGCAATGAGATAGTCCATTTGAGTGCTATTAAGATACGTGGGAGGCTAGTAGTTGGTCACAATAGAGATACGAGGAAAAGTCAAGGACGTCATATTCTCCACAAGGGTGAGAAGATGACTTTTCATTACCAACCAATGGTTAGTGGGCGGTTGGAAAAGGTTGCTGAAGGAGATATCAAACTTAGATTTTCTGAGGGTAAGCACTTAAAGTTTGACAGAAATATTGGAGATATGTTTGTGGCTGCGCAAGACATGCATGGGTTGAAGAATGAAAGCTTGAGGGTTAAGTTTGAGGATGACTTAAACTTAACTAAAATTCTTTATTAATTTGTTTTGTGTTGGAGATGATGATGGCGTTATTACTCACATTGTCTTGAAGAAAGACTCTTTATGATGTTGTCCTATCATTTATGCTAAGGTGGAGAAATTTTGTCAAAGATAGAGTTTTGTTGACATTTGTGGCTCCTTTGAAATTTTTACTAAGGTGGAGAATTTTAGTCAAGGTTGGGATTTGTTAGAAATTTGTCTAAAATTCATTTATGACATAGAAAAAATCTATTGGCTATAGAAGTGTGATGGTGGTGCTTCCAAATTAGCTTCTAAAGGAAGCTATGAAATTCTTGGGCAGCAAGTGCTATTTGGCTTCCAAAGGAAGCTTTGTAATATACTTGGACACCGAGTATATTTTTTGCTATGAATAGCCTTGCACTTATTTGATGAAAAACATCTGAGCAAAAAATAATATTCGGATCAAGAGAGTATATTCGTTTTGTGTGTGTAAGAAAATCTTTTTGTGTATGCAATCTTCAAGTGACACTTGAAGCTTGTCTTTACCGGTGGGTTTTTCTCTTTGTGTAAACCATATACTATTTGGGTATTTCTTGAGAGTGTTGTGTGAGTCTTCTTTGTTGGTAAGTTAGTGGTGTGAGAAGAGAGATTATTGTGGGAAAGAACCAAAACGTTTCTTCAGTTTGTAATCTTCTTCTTTATAGTGATACGAATTATCATCACCCGTGGACGTAATCTTATTTGTGAGGGTGAACCACGTATAAATCCTTATCTCATTTGTGTGTGTGCCTATTTTATTTTCTTGTCATTAATTTTATCTTGTTCTCATAAACTCTTATTCGATCCTTATTTCATAACACTATCATTATTTGTATTTCTAGGATTGTTAAAATGTTACCATGTGTGCGTGTGCGTGAGAGAGAGGGCTGTCTAGCCGAGTCTCTGTTTTGGGGTGTTGCTAATTTTTGGAGGTAGCCATATTGGTATTCTCGGTGGCCTCCTTGCTGTTAGTATTTAGTAGCATGAGGAGTCCTTCTATGAATAAATTATTATCTGGTCCAGGTCAATCACAATTCGACATGCAAACAAAAATATGAATTAAATTGATACATTTGCTTGCGTATGTGAGTTGTGATTGGTTTATGGCTCATTGCTTGTCTCTGTTTCAGTAGTTGACCTTCTTGTCCTATATTGTTGGTTTGAAAATTGGGGTGGGTTATATTATTTGTTGAGTTTGGAGTAAAATTCCAGTGTCTTTCTGCTCTTTGGTAAGAAAACAATTCGTAGTCCTTTCATGTGGGGCTTCGATATGTATTTCTTGCTGTAATTCTGGGGTATACCCCTTTGCATCTATACAGATTTGGTTTTTAAAAAAAAAACACTTAAATAATCACATACAGTGTTGTGCACCCCCCAAAAAAATGAATAATTTTTTAGTGATCCACAAAATGACCATTTCTCTCCTCTGAACTACTTCTATAGAAGTGTTTCACCGCTGCTAGTCAGAACAAAAATTATCTTCATGTTTTGCTCTTACAAACATTACAATGGCTTCTGAGTGAGAGCCTAGAAGTCTCCAAAGAGTAAGGCACAAAGATATGTGTGGTTTTTACTTTGAGGAAAACTAACTACTACTACAGCTTCAGAATACTGTGTGTTGTGTGTGTGATTCCCAGGTATGTTAAACAAAGAAGAAGATTATTATGTTGATTTAAGGGCTTTCTTTTATGCCATTAAGGTTCCCAACAACCGCTTATATAAATTGCCTTCATCTTCTTTGGTAAATGCTAGATGTTGTAATCAAATTAGCTCTCGAGACATCACGTCTACCTTCTCAACACAACTGAAAATTTTTGATTGCATAAGATTTCAAATGAGGGAAAAGAAATTTGAGAATAGGTGGCCGCCTTGCATAGCAGTAGTTGATAGAAAAACCATAATCGATGAAATTACTAGAGAAACAAGGTATCAAGCAAACTCAAAGAGACATCAGAAATGACAAACTTAAAAGCCAACAGAAACAACCACCAATACAACTGGAAAATCACAATTAAAAAAAAAAAAAAAAATCTGTTCAGAAAGAAATCACAAGATGAAATATGGTAAGTCGTCCCGGAGTTTGTGAAATGCCAAGCATAAGCTGATACAATATCAAGGAAGGCAACTTGAAAGTTCAAGGGGTGGTGGTTGAGTGGGATGCAGAGAGAGAAGGTTTAGGTATATCGGGAATGGTTGGAATGGTCGGAAATGTGAACTTAGGCAGCAGGTCATGGAGATCAGATATATCTAGATGAGGCAGTTCAGGAATTTCTGGCACTTGTAGCTCAGGCTTTGGAAGTTCCGGAAATGTAAAATCAAGCTTGGGAAATGATGGTGTATGGAGATCCGGAAATGATGGCAATTCAGGTTTAGGAAGCTCAGGCAAGGTTACCTCTAGCAGGTGGCGTGCCTCTACCACGATTTTGTTACCAGTCATTGATGCCAAGGTGATGAGCAGCAGTGGCAAGACAATGGATGTGTACTGGTGGTGATAAGTGCAAGCCATGTTTGGATATGTGGTAGAAGCAGCTCTTGAAAAGGCTCTAGATTTGCTTATGCATATATGGTTCTCATTTGTATGGTTTTTATAGATGATTAATGTGGAGAATAGGAGGTTAAGAAGTTGGGTTGGTGGGAATATTTGAGTCTTCTTAGCTCAACTTCTCATCTGCATAAATTGCAGAATCATCAAGAAAACTAATCATTGTTTCTTTCTTTTCTTTTCTTTTCTTTTCTTTTCTTTTCTTTGTTTATTTTTTCCTTCTTTTAATTACTATAAATATAATTTTTTTTGGTTTCTGATATCCTTGCTTTCTATATTGTCATGTAGCCAAGATGTCTCTTTTGTCCTGGGCACGTGGAAATAAATGACCGGAATGCCCCTAAGTTAAGGGGCCTCATCACATTATGGTACAAACTGATACATTAAATTATTTTACATTTACCAGGAATGGGATGACAAGCACTAAAATGTGCACAACTAGAAATGGCAATCAGGGGAATTTTTTTTCCAAGCATAGGCAAAAGGATTAGTACTGCAAAACTCTGTGAATTTCATTCAATCTATCAATCCTATATCAACTTACCTTTTCTCCCAAATATCAATAATCTTGTTTTACTCTTGCGAATCTATCAAAGATCCAAATTCAAGTTAGCAGAAACGAACGCCTCTCTCTAATAATAAATAGGAGCAGAATATACCAATGGTGTTAAGAATCATACTCCCTTAGTCGAAAAAAATGGATTTTCAACCGGATAAAAGGTCTCAAACTTCAAACTCACCACCAATTTAATAAGTTGTAAACAGTACTGCTCGATGGCCATGCAAATCTTGATATCTATACCTTATCTTGTTAATGTTGACTTTGATATGATATATTCTATGCAATAGTACTGCCTATGATAGTTACATCTTTTGAGCTGTCTATGAACCTGAGTTAGAACCAATGTGAATTTTTCATTTTCTTCTTTTCCCATTTTAAATTAAAAATTTGAATGTGAATAAGCTTATTCTGAATTGGCTGGAAAAAAAAAAGGAACAACTTATTCTGAAAGGATGGCTAGTACATGAATTGCCCATATAGAAAGTTGTAAAATGAGTTTTCATGTGTTTCTGTGCTTGCTTCAATTCCTTTAGAACACAAAGTCTGGGTGAATGTTCTGTATGAAAAGTAATAATTTAACATACAGGACAGCATAACATAGACATTGAGGTAGTAGTAGAATTAAGTGGTATGGGGATAGATAAGAGATAGTTATGTCCTGTAAGAGTGTTACGATGGAGGCAACACGACTTAGGAAGGTAAGGGAAGTGGCGTAGAGGTGGCAGTTTTTAGCACTTCTGGCTTGGCAGTCGATAACTCAGGCTCTGCCAAAGCTAAGGACATGGAGCAATGGTGGCAGCGCAGGCTGTGGTAGTGTTGGGAGTCTATGGTCACGGGGATGTTGTGGCAATTCGGTACCTTGGGCAAGGTTACTCTATAAGATGGCTTGTCTCTATCTGGATTCTGCTACATCTGATGGACAACAGCAGATATATAAGAGAGCGGATGAACTGTGGTGATAGGCCATTGTTGGAGGAGAAGACAAGTGAGCCCCAGGATTCAAGCAAAAGGGTTTTTAAGCTTGACTCAGCATGCTTGGGTTTTCATGAGTATGGTTTTGTTCTATAGATGAGAGACAATGGGATAAACAAGGACTAACAGGATTGGTTAATGGGAAGTGTTATTCATTAGTTCTTGAGAGCTTGATATATATATATATATATTGCTGGACTCTTTTCTGACTGTCTAAGCTTTTGAGGAAATTGATAGCTAGGCCAACATGGTATTGGAGCCCTCATTCTGATAGAGGTCTTGCTTTAATCTCCTTTACTACGCAAATTTGCACTTTTTTGCTCCCTTTAACATGCATACGTTTCAGCAGAAGCAAACTCTGCATGAACTTAATATAAGCCAGTGATATATATATATATATATATATATATATTTTCCCCAGTGAAATTCATACATGATGGAGCAGGAATATTTTATGGTACAAGCTTTGATTCAATGCCCTTTTGTGAAGGAAAGAGGTACAAAAATAACAATAGATTCTGGTGTAAGAGCTTGAATCCTAGAGTTGGTTCTACCCACACACCATTTAATTTTGAGACTTATAATAGGCTCATAGCATTAGCTCCTTCATGGGTGTTTTACATTTTTCTAAATATATATAAGCATACTAAATACTACTCTGAATGCACATTCTAATGTTATTGCAGTACTTTTCTCTGCCTTGCGCTCTGCAAGAGTTTTTCATGTTTGATTATAATTCGAATATAGGAATCGCGAGTTATTCATATTCCCTGTTCTTTGTCTCTGACTTCATGTTGATTTTGCCATCTCCCACATAACAAGAACTGCTAATTAGATCATTTTTCACCATCTTATTGTGGACATTGAATGGAATATCATTAGCCAGAGAGAGAAAAGGAGGAAAATATTAACAAACTTGTTAAGCTTCCTGAAGACCACGTGTCTTTTCTCATCATATTTGCACTCAGCAACGTGATTATGTTGTGAAGTGTCCAAATTTTAATTTTTTGTTATTTCATTCATTATCTTCAAGAAACATTTCTGAATATCAAAAGGAACTGAAATAGAAAGTAACATTTAAACAAGCAAACTCAAACATTGAACTCCTTATGTTACAGTAATACAAACATATAACAAAGTATAAGTAGCACACAAACATAACAAATCATGAGCAATGGCAACCATTTCCTCTAGATGGAAGAAAAGAATAAAATGAGTATCGGCTCATGGGAGACATACATCAAACATTACAAAATACCAAATCTATATATAAAAAAGTCTACTCGCCTATCGTGAATAGCAACATGATTCGAGGAGTAGTGGTTGAGTGAGGTGAGGAGAGGAAATTAAGGAATGTGCAAGTCCGCGGGCAGGGTTGGAATGGTTGGGATTGTGGGCTTAGGCAGGTCAGGAAAATGGGGCAAAGCCGGGATTTCAGGCAGTTTTGGGACTTCTGGCTTTGGCAGAGTTGGCAACTCTGGCTCTGGCAAAGTCGGGACATGAGGCAATAGTGGTAGCTCAGGCTTAGGAAGCTCAGGCAATGGTGGCAGCTCAGGCTTTGTTAGCGTTGGCAATTCAGGCTTAGGAAGCTCTGGCAAGGTTGCCTCCAAAAGGAGTCGCCCCTCTCCCTGCATCGTGTTGCCATTCATCGATAACAAAGTGACAAACGACAGCAGAAAAAGAAAGGATATATGCTGGTGAAGAGCCATTGTTGGAGTAGATCAGATTACAAGTTCCTCAAGATTCAAGATAAGGGTTTCAAGCTTGATTGAGGATGCATAGGTTTCAATATGTAAGGGTTTAAATAGATGATGGGAAGGTTTGGTTGGTGGGAATGTTTGTGTTGTTAGTTCAACTTCTCACCCACATCACTTCCACAGTTATCTTGAGAATGAGTTATATATTACTTAAAAATATAGATAATCTATACAATGTTATCTTCGTCCTAATATTTTTGCTGTCTTTTTTGCCATGTGGTACTATATAGTTGGAGGTGTTAACTGGTAATCTTGACTTTTTAACTCTTCAGCAATCAAACATTAAAACTGGTTGGTGGTTCAATCCTACAATTGGGTGGAATAGCTGCAACTAGAAGTGTCCACAATTTGTCTAATTGAAATTTTGGATCATTGAGCCATAGCTCATTTTTTATGCAAAGGTGTCACAAGTGACCTCAGGCAAGAGCTAGGTACAAGAAGTTCAAGCATACCAAAAATTATGGTGAACATTGTGCATGTTTGAAAGTAGGTTTATTTTTTGGGAAAATTAGATTTTAGTAACAAAATCTAAACAAAATTGCTCTAAAGTGACCAAAAAGTAAAGAAAAGATGAATACTCACCAAGTCTAAAACTTAAATACTTGTAAATGACCATTTAATGATTTATTACGTAAATATACTTATAATTATTTATTTATTTTATTATTATAATTTGTAATTGGATAAACATACCCTTTTCTTCTTTTGTTCATTTGGTCTTCAAACTGGAATTGTTCCTTCTAGGCATGATTCGGCGGACATACTCCAAAACTGGAAATTTCCCCATACAATGCAAATGCAAACTCAAATTCGAATTTAATGGCTTTGTGATAATTAATGCCAAACATGGATTGGCAACAAATTTTGGTATAATGCCAAATAAAAACAAGAAGCAAGCTTTGCATAAATTGTTTTGCTCTGTCATTGATAAAGGATGGGTTGTTTATGGCCTTTTGGCCTCCCGGTGGATCCTCAAGTTCACCAAAATCTCCAAATTTTCATTACCTTCAATTAATGTGTTCATGTATCAAACATAAAGTCTGGATGCATGTTTTTTTTTTTTTTCTTTTTTTTGCCGGTAAATAAAGTGTGAATGCATTTTCTGCAGAATAAACATTGAGGTAGTAGCAGTTGAGTGACATGGGGAGAGATAAGGGATATGTATGTCTTGTAAGAGTGTTAGAATGGCGGGAAACACGCTCAAGAAGGCCAGGGAAGTGGAGTAGAGATGACAGTTTCAGCACTTCTGTCTTGGCAGTCGACAACGAACTCTAGGACATGGGACAATGGTGGCAGCTCAGGCTGCCGTAGTGTTCAGAGTCTTGGGACATGGGGAATTTATTTTAACTTGGGACCGGCTTATGAGAAATTAATTTTTGAAGTCAGAAGAAATTTTGTTCTGGACAGTTTGATAAAAATTGTTTGTTACAGATTGTATTAGAAGACGTGTTTATGATTTTTAATCACCCCTCAACTTTGGTGAAACTTGCATAACAACATATATATGTATCTACTTATATGATGGTTTAAGCTTCTGAGGCAATTGATAGCCCAACAAGGTATAGGAGCTCATATTCTGAGAGGTCTTGGATTAATCTGCATATATTTTCTCCTTTACTATGAAAATTTTCACTTTTCTGCTCATTTATCAGCTTCTCTCTCCACTAGCAAGACAGGATCACATGTGAGGAAGGGTTTGAGAGCTTGATATACATCCAGGGAACAATCTTTTTATCAATCTTTTCATCTATGCTATGGAAAAATAGCAAGTATGCTAATTTTAGAAGCAGAGTACATACTGATCGACTCGTGTACAAGAACTCTCATATTCATCACTGTAGGAATTAGGTTCAAGCCTTCCCTAGCTCCTTATCATCAATGGACTCCTGATGTATGTGCACTCTGCAAGTGTTTTTCATGTTTGATTATAATTTGAATATAGGAGTCGCGAGTTATTCATATTCCTTATTCTTTTCTCTGACTTCATACTGATTTAGCTTTTTCCCATGTAACGAGAACTGCTAATACAGATTATGTTTTATCTCTGACTCAGCATCTTTTCTTATCATCTTGCACTCTGCAAAGGTCTTACCTAAGGAATTTTTTTTTTTTTTTTTTAATATTTTTTATTTCATTCTTTGATTTCTAAGAACGATTTGGAATAGCAATAACAACTGAAATGGTAGAAATCGACATTTAAATACTCAAACACAAATGAACTCTATATATATATAGGCTAGATGTAATACAAACATAGAGGAAAGTACAAGGCCCTTCGGGACCCATCTCAGGTTACAAACCGGGGATGCTGTCGACAGCCTCACATCTTGAATTATTTAATTAAATTTAAAATATTTAAATTTGTTTATACTTGAATTATTTTGTTAAAAAATATATATGTAGATCGAAATGCCTCAAACTTGTCCCGACTGTAATTCAATTTAGAGCAGACAATTTGAAAAAATATTTTTATTTATGGGAGGAGTTTGAAAAATAGTACTTCGTCACGAACCGATTGACATTTCTATCATTTAGTTTTTGTTCACTTCTAATTAATCTCTAATTAAGGAAAGTAAGTTTTGACAATATGAAAGCAAGTTTTAATAGTAAAGATTTATTCACTTAGCCAATGTCACCTTTAGTTCATTTTACTTAACATAATTTTATTTCACTGCAAATTACAAGTAACAACACTTGAATTTAGGAGGTATAATAAAGCTTTATATAATTTTGAATGAGTGGAGTTTGGTCTCGCTCTCTTTTATTTTATTGTCAAGAAAGACGCATTTAGGATTCATTGTAAAGACCCTTCACCCCTTATCCAGGGTATGTGAGACTGTGCACCCGTAACTCGCCAGTGTGGTAGCCTGTCAGTGTCTCGCACCCACCCACGGCACACCCACCCACAAGGTCATCACAATCCACCCCCTTGGAGGCCCGACGTCCCCATCGGTGCACTTCCGGCTGGTTCAGGCTCTGATACCATTTGTAATGACCCACTCCACCACATGGTATGATATTGTCCGCTTTGGATCTAAGCATACACGGTTTTACTCTTAAACTTTACCCCCAAAGACCTCATACCAATTGGAGTGATACACCTACATATAAGCACTTCACCTTTCTCTTACCCAGGCGATGTGAGACTGTGCATCCGTAACTCGCCAGTGTGGTAACCTGTCAGTGTCTCGTACTTACCCACGGCACACCCGCCCACAAGGTCATCACAATCCACCCCCCTTGGAGGCCCGACGTCCCCGTCGACACACTTCCGGCTGGGTCAGGCTCTGATACCATTTGTAACGACCCACTCCACCATATGGTATGATTTTGTCCGCTTTAGGCCTGAGTCCGCATGGTTTTGCTCTTGAGCTTTATCTAAAAAGGCCTCATACCAACTGGAGTGACACACCTACATATAAGCACTTCACCTTTCTCTTACCCAGGCGATGTGGGATTGTGCACCCGTAACTCCCCAGTGTGGTAGCCTGACAGTGTCTTGCACCCGTTCATGGCACACCCGCCCACAAGGTCGTCACAATCCACCCCCTTGGCGGCCCGACGTCCCCATCGACACACTTCCGGCTAGGTTAGGCTCTGATACCATTTGTAACGACCAACTCCACCACATGGAATGATATTGTCCGCTTTGGGTCTGAGCCCGCACGGTTTTGCTCTTGGACTTTACCCCAAAAAACCTCATACCAATTGGAGTGACACACCTACATATAAGCACTTCACCTTTCCTTTACCCAGGCGATGTTGGGCTGTGCACCCGTAGCTCGCCAGTGTGGTAGCCTGTCAGTGTCTCGCACACGCCCACGGCACACCCGCCCACAAGGTCGTCACAATCGTGGTTAGAAAAGTACGTTATACCATCTCTCTATTATTATTTTTTGACAAAAAAATCACTCATCCATTTAAATTAATGCTTTGTTTGGTTGGAGAAATCGAAAAATGAATGGAAGAGATTGGAGGAGGGATGGATGAAGAATCCTAGGAAGTAGGAAGGGAAATTGTCTCTCCTATTTTTTATTTGGTTGAATGGAATATATAATAGAAATGATGGATATGGTGATATATATATATATATATATATATATATATATATATATATATATATATATATATATATATATTAGTTGCAAGAAACGAAAAGAAAGTTTTTATATATTTTTTACCAATATACCTTCACTATAGAATATAATAAAATGTTGATATCCATTTAAATTTTTTTGAAAATGTTAAAAATAAAAATTAAATATTTGTAGGTAGTTATTCATTTTCTCCTTCTTTCTCCCAAAATTTGAGAGATAGAAAATGTGAAGAAATCTCTCCTTGCTTCTTCCAACTTTTTCCTTTCCTCTAACCAAACACGAAGGACTTCATCCATCCTTTCTTAATCCCTCCCTTTAATCAAACATAACATAAAACAACTTCTAAATAAAGGTGTAACCAAAATTCTCCCTCTCTCTCTCTATTAGATTTAAATTTTAGATTTATTTCAAGATTGATAATCTATGCTGTTGAGAAAAGCAAATTTTGATTAATTTTACAACCATTAGAGCATCTCCAATGGGGTTGCTATATTGGCTACCAATTCAAAATATAGCAGGTGGGTTAAAATTGGACTCTCCAATGGGCTACTATATTGGCTGCCAAAATTTACATTTACTATTTTTTTTTTTTGCCAAATCTAGCAAAACAAATAGCAATAGCTATTTCTATATTTAGTGCCAAATCTAAAAGAAATATATGGGTTTTGAACTTTTGAATACAAAACAAGAATTACATACCTTGATATATATATATATATATATATATATATATATATATACACACAAAATCAAGAATTACAGACCTCGATTAGTTGATTTAGAAAAAAAAATAAAACAAAACCCATACATACAAGTTAGCAGTTGCAGAGAAAGAAAGGGGGGCAAGCTTGCGAGTTGAGAGACAGCAGTTGAAGCTTGCGAATAGCGAACCCGAACTGGAACAGCGGGCGATGGAAACTAAAAGATCTGGGTTTTGATCTTTTGAATAATCTGAAATGATATGCCAATATGGGTTTTGATATAGGTAATAGGTTTTGAACTTTGGATTCTTGCGGACAGATAAATAAACTGAAATATATGGGTTTTGAACTTCTACTTCTTGTAGATTTTGTAGTTTGCAGTTGCTGAGAGGGGAAGTTCTCAGAGTTGGGAACAAGAATAAAGATGGAGGCGATTAGGCTAAAATGATTTGCCCTAAAAATATAAATTTTTTTAATAATAATATAATATAAATTATATATATATATAATATATTTTTGAAAAAGAAAAAAAAATTATATAAAAAATTAATTAACAAATAGTGGTAAAAAATAATTAAAAATTTGTTTTTTTTTTTTTTTTTTTGGGTTTCTTTTTTGACGAAATATTTTAGATTTTTGCTTCTTTTAATTAGGTTTAATTTTAGTTTCCTTCTAATGTCTACAACTTGACTTGGAATATGCCTAATATTAATATTACTGATACAAATATGAATGGTGGGAATGGTAGTTGAAAAAAAATGATAGTTGTATAAAAAAAATAACATTTTGCATGAAATATACTATTGGAATAGAATTGGTAAAATGTAACATTTTGACACTGTAACTCCTGTCAAAATATAAATTTGGCATGTGAAAATAACTTTTAACATTAGAGATGCTCTTAGAATTGAACCAATAACACGCGTGACAATGAATTTTTAAAACTGAGGTCACCATAACACTTTGAGTCAATGTTCCTTTGTCATAAAATTTAACAAGACTGCAAATACAATAACAAGAAGTCATAAATAATGGCATTTCCAAGTTTGTACGATTTTAAAGAACAAATTCCTTTCATCATTTGACCTGAACTTTCTCCCAGTCTCTCCCTCTAATATTATTTTTTAGGGTTAATTCAAAGTTGTTTCAATCAAAATTACCTAAAATTAGATTTGAACCAATGACACTGGTGACAAGGAAGTCAAAGTCTGAAAACCACTATTTTAGATCCAATCATTGTTCTTTGACATAAATTGTTCTAAGATTATAAATTCAAAATAACGACTCTTATTGGAGGTATAATCAAGTTTCATATCATTTCAAAGAAAGAATTTCTTCTGCTGCTTGTTTAAGAACTACGCTGTTGAAAATGCAAGCTGAAATTTTTTAACCTTCCAATTCTGCTTGTTTAAGACAAAACTGCAATATAACAGATACCAAATCTTCCGTATTTTCATATGGTTTAAGAATTCTAAAGTATAAGCCGAGGAATGAAAGAAAAAAAAGAAAGAAAAAAAGAAAAAAAGAAAGATGCAGCAAGTAAAACTAGGGACGACCAAAAGTAAAAAATAAATTTATTGAAACCTCGGAAATATCAAGTTCTCTCTTCCAACATTTCCTAGTCTTTTTATGGTGAAATGAACAAGAGGGTAGATAGACAAAGACCAAAGGACCTTACATTGATGGCTATGGTGAAGATCTACAAATGAACTCATATATGCCCACATTTCTCGTTTACAAACCTTAATTGAAACATCGCCAAGGCAAGGGCTGAGAAAAGGAAACAAACAAACAAACCGAACTTTGTCTTAGACAGCAACCACTACGACTTCATCAAGAGCTAGAACACTGGGGAGCTGTTTCCCTTCCAACAACTCCAAACTGGCACCACCACCTGTTGATATGTGACTCATCACTTCAGCAACTCCTACTTTTTCTACAGCTGCAACAGAATCTCCACCTCCAATAATTGTTGTAACTCCCTTCCCACTAAGTTCAGCTAACTTTTTCGCAATTGCCTGCAGGCACAATTACCACTTCAATTTACCATCTATTAATTCAGAGACAAATTTAGATATTGTAAAGGTCAAATAAATCAGGTGACATTCCTATTTTAACCTTTTTATGACGGGTTTAGTCGTATCAATCAGTATGAGTCGGGGTTGGACTGGTATCAATCCCCCAATTACTGACCAAAGGGATAGCGCAAAGCAAAGAAATAGGCACTAAAAACAAGTACATGTTGGAGAATCATTAACCAACTCCTTATCGAATTCATTCTATGTGGCTAGAGCGATAGGGCTAAAAGAGGCTGTCTGTACAAAGGATGACGGCTCAAGACTCACATACACATAGAACGGTCAAATAAATTGGAAGTGTCCAAATCTGCCGCAAGAATCATCATGAAAAGAAAAAAGCAGTCAAAGAAATGGCGTTATTAGCCAACGTCCTGGTTGATCACCCCCTTTTTGTCGGTTTATGACACCCAGTCAGTGTACATTTGAGTATGTTTGTATGACGACCAAATTTCCAATGTCAAACCAAGTCTCAGTCTCTCCCGAAGTTCCTTATTGACGTATGCCTCCGGTAACAAAGGTAGCTTCTTTCAGTCCATACAAGCAATGGAGATTTACCATGCCCGTTCATAAAGCTTTATCCAATATGACTCATTTTCGGTACAAGATAACAAAAACGTGTGAAGAGTGAGTCTGTTACTTCCAGTCTAGAGTTTATTAGGTTAGGCTGGTACAGAGATAATTGGACAAAGATCTGGGTAGTGCATATAGATCAATTGCATTGATCTATAAGGGTATGTATGAAGTTGGCACTAAATCATCCCAAACTCAATCCAGTTGCGATAAGAAAAACCTCATCACATTTAACATGATATGCATTTGTAGAAAGCGGAAATGAAAATATGATGCCTGCGTATCCATGAACAAATTAAACAAATGCTATGGGCAATTTTTTTTGCGCACCTCTGTTCCAGCTGCAAACTTGTCAAACTCAAACACTCCCATTGGTCCATTCCAGATAACAGTTTTGGTAGTATCTAAAGCATCATTGAATGTCTTTATAGATTCAGGTCCAATATCCAAGCCCATCCAGCCGTCCAGAATGGCAGATGCTGGCACAATCTGTAATAACCAAAAAAAATATAACATTATCTTGCTAGCTTAGTAAAAGAAACTCATACAGGTTAAAAGCAAAATGATAGTCCACATTGGTTTCTATTGAACAAATTTAGTCTTCCATGCCAGAGCGTTTCTGGTACTCGAACATCAAGAGTAAAAGGGGTCAAATAATGAAGAATTTCATGGGAAGCCAAGTAACAAACCTTGCTGTTTGCATCAGGAGCAAACTTGTCAGCAATAATTACATCAGTAGGTAACAAAAGAGATACTCCTTTGGCCTTGGCCTTCTCAAGGAGTGTTGTTGCAAGATCAAGCTTGTCTTCCTCTACCAGGGACGATCCTACAGAAAGGCCTTGTGCCTTGTAAAATGTAAAGATCATTCCTCCACCAAGAAGCAGGATATCACACTTTTCGAGAAGCGACTCAATCACTCCAATCTTAGATGAGACCTTTGAACCACCCACAATAGCAGCAAATGGCCTCTTTGGGCTTGAAACTGCTCCAACAAGGTAGTCCAGTTCCTAATATAAGAGAAGACAATTTATTGTGAATAGACTGATAAATAAACATAATACAGAAATGATGGATACGTTCATCCATGAAAACTCTATACAATAAAAATATGATCCCTCCCACCACAATTACATGGCGGGTGCAGGCAAATGGTTTCTCACCGACCACTTTAACTCAAAATTTGCTCCATTGTTTCCATGGTGACAATTCAAGCTTAGCAATTTTTTTCTGGTCAGAAAATCATCATAAGAAGCAAGATTACAAAAACATGTCGGGGGGGGGAGGGGGAGATGGGGGAGGGGAATGATAATTTTAATTTTTCTCTGAAATTGTAGGTTCATGTGCTCAAACTTTTTGACCTATAAACTGGTGGGGCCCTTTTTCCTTGTAAGCAAAACTGTAATTTTGATTGAATTACAAATGAAAAAACAATTATATGAATGCTTATCAAAACTTTATCATTTAACTTAGGCTTCTGTAATCATGGTCACTGGTGCACACCAAGGACAAGGAGAAAAGTCAGTTATCCAACCTTCTGCAAAAGGAACCCAGTAACAGATGGCTTCAAAAATTTTGTAACACCCTCAGTTGAGGTGTGGGCTCCATGTGCAGTACCAAATGCATCATTCACATAAAGATCTGCCAACGAAGCAAGCTTCTTTGCAAACTCAGGTTCATTCTTTTCTTCCTCTTTGTAAAACCTCACATTCTCAAGAAGAAGAACACCACCATCAGGAAGTGCAGCCACAAGTTTTTCAACTTCTGGACCGATGCAGTCATCAGCCTTGACAACCTGTTTCACCCCATATTAAGTGTAAAGTGAGAAAACCCCACATTTAAGTTACTACATCTATCACTTTTGGTAAACACAAAATCAGCTAAATTTCTCTTTGTTTGTTCATTACTTATTTTTATTTACTTCTGATTCTGAGAAAATGTACCTGAATGCCAAGTAATTCAGATAATCTGGGCACAAGGGGTGCCAAGCTGAATTTTGGAGTAACACCTTTTGGTCGTCCCTAAAAATTCAATGAACAAATAGGGTTGCAAATGAACCGAGTTGTTCATGAACAGCTCGGGCTCGGCTCGTTAAGGGCTCGGCTCGGGCTCGTTCATTAAGCAAACGAGCCGAGCTTGAGCCCAATTTCTAGGCTCGTTTACTAAACGAGCCGAGCCTGAGCAACGTTGGGCTTGGCTCGCATAGGCTCGTGAACATGGGCTCGTTAAGGCTCGTTAGGGCTCGTGAACAAAGCTCGTATCAGGCTCGTTACATATATCAGGCCCATTCTATATATATCAGGCCCATTTGTTTTTATTGTACATTTAAAATATTTAGTCCATATTATTTTTAAGTTTGGACCAGCTCATATTTTTCATTAATATGGCCCAAGCATTATAACTCATTAGCCCAAAAAAAATCCACCATAGATCCATAGCCCAAATAAGATTTCGTCTCACCTATTAAATTAGAACCCATCTCATCCATTGATTTTGTAAGATATCAAAAAACCCTAAAACTACATCCCACCATTCAGATTTACCCCTTCTCCACAACATCGTCAGTCTCTCTCTCTCTCTATCACTCACTCACGAGTTACGAATCAACTCCACTGGCGACGACAACCCTTCCATCTACACAACTACCTCTCTGTCTCTCTCTAATCAACTCAATCGCCATAACTCTCTCTCTCAGATCTGAATGCATCGTCTGTCATCGTCATCGTCGGCCGCGGTCCTCTGTCTTCGCCATGGACGTCGTCCGTTTCCCGCCGTCGTCTGTGCCGCTATCCCTCCATCCTCGTCATCATCGTTGGCCATCCTTTGTCCTCGCCATCAATTAGGTACTGCATCAATTAATTTTTTGGCAAAACTTTATTTTCACTTTAATTCCATGGATTTGGACAACCTCAAAACATTCTTTAGGCAGTTGCAGACAATTTTGTTTAGCCTTTTCTTCTGCTTCCTCTAAATTTATGAAGACTAATGCTCAATGGCCACAGGTAGCTAAATTAATTTATCTCCAACTTATTTTCCTCTGTGATTTCTTTTTCTACTTAATATATCAATGTTTCAGTGGTTCTATAGATATTATTATCATGGGAATTTATAACTTTTTGATGTGTTGTATTTTCATAGAAAATGCATAATGCACTCATGCTCAATTTTGTCCTTTTTTCTTTTTTCGAAATTAACCCTTAATTTGTTCTTGAAACATAAAAGCTTGCACTACTGCACCTTTTTTTTTTTTTTTTTTTTTGCCCTTTTTCTTTTTGCTTATGTGATAATTGATAAAGCAATGGAAAAAGGTATTGTGGCCTGTAGAATACTAATTAATTTTGAATTTTATATATATATTTTTTTTTTGTTAAACGAGCCGAGCCCGAGCTTTTAAAATCAAGACGAGCCCGAGCCCGAGCCCGAGCCCGAGCCCGAGCTCAAATTTTTGAGCTCGTCACGAGCCGAGCCCGAACCCGAGTTGATCCCATAAACAAACGAGCCGAGCCCGAACAGCCTAAAGCTCGGCTCGGCTCGGCTCGGCTCTTTTGCAGCCCTATGAACAAAATAATTCATCTTGAACTGTCAAAATCTATATGCAATAAGGACTTTTTATATAGCAGCAAAAAAGAAAGCTACATATAACCAAGTTCATGCAGTTGGATACGCCATGTAATAGTATAACCACAAAGGTAGTACCGTGCATAACATGCTTATATTTGCAGAAGATAAGATAGACCAATAACCTAAATACAGCCTAATTTCCCAAATATTGGTATTTGAAAAAATGTGAAAGGGAAAAACAAACAAACAAGAACAAAAAGGCACTTTTCCCATCCATAAAAATCACATAAACCCAAATTTCAATCATTGGAAAAGGCAATAATAGTGTTATGGTAGGAGTTTTTCGGAACCCTTTAATTAGTTGCATTAGTAAAAGTATAAAGAAAGAGAGTAGAATATGCAAAAATTTGCAACGATGAGTGAAACTTACGAGTTTCTGTGACTCCATTACATCAGTTAGAAACCAATTTTTCAATCATGATAAATACTACTGTATCAGTACTCAAAGAACACAAACTCACAATTGATCTTGTTTCTTAAATAGACTACATTCACATAACATGGCATAAAATACGAAAATGATCAAACTTGAAGAAATAGAAGCATGGTAATTATTCATAAAAAGATCAACATAAGAATTCACAAATGAAACCCTTTGATTCCTCAAGATGACACCCACTTACCAAGTGACTGGAGAGAATGACTTTAGCCCCATTTGAGATCAAGTGCTTGATGGTGGGCACAGCAGCTCGAATTCTGGTATCGTCAGTGAATTCTTGCCCTTCAATTCCGCCGCCGTGAGGTCTCACACGCTCTTCTTGGCCATCGACTCCACCCCTCTGGAGGCTTTTCCGCTCGCTTTGAGGGACCTGAGTCTGGCAGCTACGTGGAGGCTGAGAAGAGGGTCGACGGCGGCGCCGGCGAAGCCCAGACGGCGTAGAGGGTTGCGAAGAAAGCGGGTGGTGGGGACATTGAGAGTTGAACGGTTTTGGGTGGTGGAAGAAGTGGAGGGGATGATTTTGGGAGAGAGTGAAGTAGCTGATGTCGCATTAGCCATTGCTAAATTTTTTTCTAATGGCTATACAGAGAGAATTTTAGAGAGAGAAAGGGAGAGTGTGAGAAGTAACAGAGAAGGTGAGTGAGGGGCGGAGAAGTATATGTGGACGTGAAGAGCGAGACGGGATGGATCATGGAGTGATTGGATATCTCTCTTATAGTGGAGGAGAGGTTGAAGATGTTTGATGATATTCTGGTTTTTTTCTTTTTCTTTTAATTTTAATTTTCTGGTTTTCGGTTTTCTTTTGTCATTTTATTTCTTTCTGAATTTTATACGGGGCCAAAAATTATTTATTGAAAGAGAAATTGGACAGAGGCCACACGAAAATGTTCCTAGGATTAAATCTTTTATTAGAAGAAGCCAATAGCGATGAGAAATACAATTAACTAAGTAGGAACTCAATTCAAAAGAAAACTTTTCTTTTTTATTTAAAATCAAAAATTTGTTGTACATATTATTATAATATTAGGAATTTAGGACTCCCAAGAGTTCAAAACAAAAAAGAAAAAGAAAAGAAATACTATCCGGCTACGTTTAGAATAGTGAGTTGATTCTTAATTGTCAGAATTTATGATTTTAAGCTGATTTATTTATTTTAAGTATGCTTAAAACTTTCAATCCATTTGACTACACTCTTCAAGTTTTAAAATTTTCATTTATAAAGAGAGGTACTATTTGTTTATTATTTAAATTAATATTATAAAAAAGACGAATAATTAATTGATGTCATGAAACATACCAAAATTATACTACCTAGATAAATAAATAACTTGTAATATATATATATATATATATATATATATATATATATATATATATAATAACGAAGTTCTTAATAAATAAATGGAATAATTATATCTACCTGGATTGTCTAAATAATTTGTATTTTTCATCTAATTTCAAATATAACATTAATTGATTTAGGTATGAGTAAATATAGCACTTTTGTTTACTTAAAACCTGAAAATATCTTTTAAAAGTTTGAACTGGTTATTTTGTCTATAACAAATAAAAGTACAAAGAATATAATTGTCATATAATACAATTGAGGCAAATTGGTGTTATATTTTAAACTATATGAGAGGTAAATATAATTATTCCTAAATAAATTGTTAGCGTGAATTTAATGTCATGGGCTACATTCTGGACATCTGGGCTTAACTGCTGGGCTGATAATGGTTTGGCCCATAGGCAGCCCGAATTCATCACAAAACATTTCCCATTTAATGCTTCTTTTCTACTCCGCTCTCTCCAATGGCGACGGCACTCTGTTTTTCGCCTTCGCACACCACAATTTTCCCTCAAATCCAATAGAAGTGGTCGCCAGTCTAACTTTGCTCCCTTACGGACACCACCATTTCCAAAACACCCCTTGGAGACACCAATCCTTTTAGCCTGAAAGTACAACTACACATAACAACCAGAGCTCTGAGAGAGTGGCAAGATTACGAGGACGCGGTGAAGGACAAGGACCTCGCTCGAGCTCTTCGGTTCCTGCAAGATGTCGAACCAGAGGATTCTTCAATTGGGTCATCTGGGTCTCTGGGTGGTGGTGGTGATGGTGGTGGTGAATTGGAATTGTTTAGGTTGAAGAGGGATTGGGAGGTTTTAGATACTTGCTTGAATGCTGATGATATGAGGCTTGTTGGGAGTGCCTATACGTTTCTCAAAGACAGAGGGTTTTTGCCCAATTTTGGGAAATGCTGGAGTATTGGTAATCTCTTGTCATTTTATTGGGGTGAAATTTTATTTAATTTGCTGCAAATTTTGTCCCTTTTTTGTTCAGTCTTCGCAAGTTTAGACGCCCATATGATGCAATTGTCCATTATATGTTTGCTTTTTTTTTTTTTTTTTTTTTTCCCATTTCTAATCAATTGTGAATACTTATTAGGAGAGTAGTGCAATAAATTTGTAGTTGAGAACTTCTTTATTTTGTTCCTTTTTGGCAACTTTTTTAGTACCAATTGAAACAATTGTTTCATCAAGTGAGCAGGGCACCCCACCAATACACACATGTATGAAATATTATTTTATATATGGGATTTAGTTCAGGATGATTTGTTAGCCATTCCTAAGTAGCTGATTTTATTATTTTTATTATTTTTTTTTTTTTTTTTTTTTTTTTTTTTTGAGATGGGCAGGATATCAAAAATATTATGATTGTAATTTATTTTGTATTATCATTGTAGTGGTGTGGTCATACTTGTGTATAACAGGAGCAAGAGCAACAGAGCTGCAATTTTAAAATTCCTTTAGGCGGAGGGCTTCATCAAAGTGCCTCTAAGGAAAATATATGCATATGTTTATTCTGGAAAAAATATATGTTTGTGTGTGTGTGCATATATTTTTTTGGAGTTCACTTTAGTTAGGGAAGAAATATATTTCTTGGTGTTTGTGTGAGAGATTTTAATTATGTTAATATTGTTACTTATAGACTTATAGTTAATACTACATGTACAATTTTTTTTTGGTTAGTCTAAATTAAATTTGAAGTAAGAATTTACAACAGCATGATGCTGTCTCTGCAGCTTGCTACTCTGTAAGTTCTAAAATGAGGTAACACTAACTAAAGGATGACTAGGAACACAACTGAGCAAGAACACTTTGTGATCTAACAATTATCAATCCATGGGTTTCCTGTGGATATAAGTTGAAAGCACCAATCCGTGGAGCAGCCCCTTGTTACAAGAATTATGTCATAGGTCATAAATTTATTGTTAATATCATCATAATTAATTGTTACTGTCACAGTTGTCAAAAAGTATTGTTGTTACTTTCATTGAATTTCCTAGTGCTTTCCCTATCAGACAGTGACTCACCACTTCTGGTTTCTATATATGATTTTTAAAAGCTTGCTTTTCATAAATGCGTATTTATGTTATGCTCATATTAATGTAATTAAATTGTATTTGTAATTTTTTGTTACTGTCAGTGAGTTTGCATGTCATTTTGCCATTATGGCATTCTATAATTATCTCACATTATCTTTCCATGAATTTTCTACTTTTGCAGTTCTTGAGGGACCAAGAGATGTTACACCGTCTGTTTTGAAGTCTTCAACTGGTTTGGAAGGTGTGGTATCTTTGGCAAAGTTATTCCAATGCTCTAAAGTAATGGAACTTACCCTTTGTTTGAGAGCATTAGTTGTCACATGTTATAATCTTTCCTCTTGAATTGAAGTAATTTCTAATACTGTTTAATTCTATTATGTTTCAAGTTATTGTCACTTCTATTTAAAACTATATTTTGATGGAATGTATCATTTGGATTTTCTTTTTCCTAGTCCAGTGTCTAAACTTTCGCCAAAGAAATGGGGTCTTTCTGGAAGCTCCAGTGTTCTTTTAATTGCTCTACTTGGCGGGGTATCATTTCTGCTAAATCAAGGAATAGATATCGGACCTAACCTTGCAGCCATGTTAGGATTAGGCATGATGGACTCTATCTTCCTTGGCGGTACTTGTTTAGCTCAAATCTCAAGTTATTGGCCTCCATATAGACGTCGAATCCTAGTTCATGAAGCAGGGCATCTCCTTGCAGGTAAGTCCAGTTTCTCTCAGATGCAATTTTTATAGTTGGAGGACTTATGATTAGATTATGATACTTTGTTTGTTTAAAACCTTAAGTCTTTATTATATATGTGTGAAATAGTGTCAAAGCTACAGACTACACAGCTATTTTTAGTTTTCTACATTTTGAGCATTGATGAAAAACTTTGATAACTCTTACTCTGACCTTTGCTAATAATTGATTTTCTTATGTGAGTTTGCAGCATACCTGATGGGCTGTCCAATTCGTGGGGTTATTTTAGACCTGATCGTTGCGATGCAAATGGGCATTCAAGGGCAGGTATTCTTGATCATTTTTGGGTCTATTGAACAACAACAATATTATCCCCAACAAAACATAAAAAGAAACGACTAAAAACTAAAATTTATTAGAAACCCTAAAATCAGCAAAACTCACAAATCATCCATGAATAAATAACATATTTACTGCTTGAAAAAGAAAAAAATCAACGAAACCAATCATAATCGTAATCAAAATCAAAATCAAAATAATCAAAGCGCAAAAGTGCAACAAAAGATTGCGCTTTAATCGGTCAATGTATTTACAAGTTTACACATATAGAGAGAGAAGGAGAAGGACCTGAATCTTGGCCTTGACATTATCGATTGTATCGCTGCTCTCAACTTCGAGAGTGATGGTCTTTCAATTAGGGTGTGTTTGGATAGTATTAGTTATGAGAGAAAAGAAAAGAAAAGAAAGGATAGTATTAGTGAGAAAAGAAAAGAAAAGAAAGGATAGTAATAATTTCTATTTGTGTTTGGATAGATAGGGGAGAAAAAAAAAGAAAGGATAGTTATTCTTGTTTGGATAAGATAGAAGAGAGAAAAGAAAAGAAAGGATAATAGACAAATTACTTTTTTACCCTTTTATAACCATGGGACTTGAATGGAATAATAAATCTGTGTATTGATTGTGGAGGCTAATTTTGGTATTATCAAAATACCACTAAAATCACTATCCTTTCTCTCCCTATCTCTCCATATCTTCTCAAAATTGAGGAGAAAGCAAATAAGAGATAAGGAGGGATAGTTATCCCTCCCTATCTCTCCTTATCCCTCCCTATCCCTCCACTTAACTTACCCAAACACAAACTTACACTATCCTCTCTTTTCTTCTCTCCCTATCCCTCCAAATCAACCCTACCAAACACACCCTAAGTATCCGTATATCCTAGGTATCAAACCGTAGAAGTATCAGTGCCTACTAGCTGCCATAACTACTTGTGGTTGTGTTGGGAGCATGGAGCTTTGTTGGTTTTGGTCTTTATCAACCAGATTTCTTCTTTGAACCGTTGGGTGTGTATAAGATAGTAACTGGGAGTAAGTTTCAGACGGTGAGTGACGAGGTCTTTTGCTTTACTTTATTGATTCTTTGTGATTGTTGTAGATTGTAATCATTTATTAATTTGGAAATTTAACCAGTCATAAAAATTGAGCAATAATACTTGTTCATTCCTCTGGGTTTATTGGATCATTAAATTATTACACTACTAACTAACCAGCTTTGTATTATGCAACACAAAAGGGGAGGTGTCTGAGTTTAAATCACACAATCTTTTTCAATGGATATCATTCCTCTCACTCAAATTCTCATTATCTATTACTTAATTTTGCCGCTTTTACACTCCCCTCTCCCAATAAAAAAAAAAAAAAAAACCTTTTTTGAAAATGTTATTAATGTCCCTTAAATATTAATTAATTTATAAATATTGTCCCTGAATTCCATTAAAAAATTTAATGGCCTCCCAATTTTTTCAAAACGCTTTTATACTGATGCAAAATAGAAAGTTTGAAAATAGAAAGTTTGAAAATAACTTTGAACTTGGACCATTTTAACTATACTTCTAAAAGGTCGAATATTGAGAAACAAAAATTTAAGTTTATTATTATTGTAGTCATTTTCACAACACATTGTTATTTGAATTACATACACATTTATAATATCTATAATATTAATTCAAGAGAAAAAAAGGATAAAAATCACTAATGTTCCCTAATGCATTAAGCATTTTTTGTCAATTTTTTTTACAAAATGGTATTTACAAGAAAAATATCTAGAATTATAATTATTTATTGGCATCTTGTTTAATTTAAAATTATTTTGTTTAGTTAAAATTCATTATTTTTTTTAATCTTTCATTTAGCTAGGCATATATTTCCCAAGTGGAATCAAAGTATTCAAAAAATTTCTTTCAAAAATTAGATTTTTGAAAAACTAAAACAATTGATGAAAGAAAATTAATTCTCTAATAGTAATAATTGTAACTCACCGTTTTTTTCTCTATATTCTTCTTTCTAATATAGGTTTTTTTATCTTCTATTAAGTTATATTTTTCTCATTTTTGAATTTTCTGAAAATATATATACTATAAATAACATCTAAACAAAATTATATTATAATTAATTTATAAAATTTTTTAACCTTAGTTACATAGTACAAATCCGCTCCCCCAACCTAAATTTTCTTGCTCCGCCCCTGGTTTGAGCCTCACATGGAATGGTGATGTGTGATTGCTGAGAACTTGCATTTAAAGAATAGATGGGAAGGAGATTTAGCTTACTTAGACACAAAGGCAATGCCCGTCCATTGTGTTTAGTTTGCTCTATGCTTTGGGCATTATTGGGAGAGATTAGTAGATGCTTCTCGATTATTTAAAATTTGGTGGATCAATACAATGAAAATTAATGTTGAATTTTTTTCATAATATATTAATGCACACTCGTAAGATCATTTTTAATCCACCAAGTATTCATAGTCATGACCATTTAATAATTTCTTCGATGAATTTAAAGCTAGGCTGTAGGCATGGAATCAGGTTCAATGGTTGCAGAATCTAAAGTCTATGACTTTGGTATGCTTGTGGGTTGGGCTTATGCCATGGTTTTGTAATTTGCACTGGGCCTTGCCTTGCCTTTAGCGTTGTTACCATTGGACTTGTACAGTCTTCTTTATATTTATATACTCCCAACCAACTTCACCTTTAAATCCTCCAAAGCCTCCTATGTTCTCGACTCATCCGGTGTGTGGCTATGGAGCTGTGCTACATTACCCCCAGTTTGGCGTCATGGGGTGGGGTCCCTAAGGAGCCTTGTTTCAGGGAGTTCTGGGTCATCAAAAAAAAAAAAAAAAAAAAAAAAAAAAAAAACTTCACTTTTAAAAAAAAAAACTTCACCTTTAAAAAAAATTTAAAAAAATAAAAGGTCCAAAAAATCCCTTGATCAATTCATGGTTTTTCTCCATTCCACTTGAACAGTCTTGAGTATCTTAATTGGTTATGAGTAACCCAACATGATCTCACATTACATTTTTGTAAACAAATCAATGGAGTTGAATAAATATCTGGAAATTCTAACCAGACCAAATCCATGCACGAATGATTAAGTGAAACTCAGTAGAGACAAATATATATATATATGGAGGTTGCAAACGATTCTTATTAAACCAGAGAAATGTGGAGTACTTAATTAAAAGCTACATTACATGAGGACCCTTATTCGGTTCATCATATGAATGAATATCAAACCATTCATATAATGATAAAATATACCAACTGATGAGACGAACACAAACCAAACTCCAAAAACAGAAGCAACAAATTCATGCTCACAGGGGTATGGGATCAATGAACATAGAGACAATGTGATCTTTCAACACTCTTTCTGGATGAGTGTATGCGTCTTCGCACTTGTAGACGACATCTGTCACCCGCGTAAGATTGAGAACTTGCATGCGAAGATGCATCGAGATGGAGTTTGGCTTGATGAGGCATTCCTCATTGATATCTTTCCAAGCATACTCAATCTTTCTATTGAACTCATCAATTACCTCATCTTTCGACAGTCCATGCTGCTTCGTGTAGCATTCAATCCCCGTAGCCGTGTGTCCCCTCTCTTGTTCTTTCTTCAAATGTCAAAAACTCATCAATATGTATTAGAGGATCAATGTTTACATTTAATGGGGTCTAAACAATGGGTCATTAGTCGAATGATATAATCTCCCTACTCTCAAAGAGGAGGTGAAAAAAAAAAGACTCGGTTATTATATATACCTCGGTTGACACTATGTCGTTCATGAGCCGTCATATTGTACTTGAAGCAACAAGAATTTTAGGTTTAGTTTGTACCCAATCAAATGCCTCAATCGTAGCAATTTCTCCCATGCCCATGAAAGATGTTGTAATTAGGTAGTAAGTGGCAGTGATTAAGCCATTGTCCATATATTCATCAAATGATGACACATATCTTTTATTAAACCACTTTGCCTCAATATAGTAACTCCTTGCTAGTTCTTTAACCTGTTCACCAGTTAAAACAAAATAAACATGAATTAATACTAGAATTTATGAAATATAACCAATTTGTTTGATTCAACTTTTGAAAATGATCTACTTAATTCGGATATGTCCCAGCGGTTTACTCGTTGAACTTTGGGGTTTAACAAGCCCAAGGGGGTTCGAGTCCGTTGGGTGTTCTTTTTAGCTAGCCTCCGCTGCCCCTACAATGATTTATCCGACCTAAATAGGGAGGCGCCCTTCCGGGTCCTCGGAAATTAGTCGGGTTGTTGAAGAGTCCTAAAGGTTTGTGCCATCTTGGACACCCCGGGTTAATTAAAAAAAAAAACTTTTTGAAAATGATTTTTCTGTTTTTGGATAACTAAAAAATTGAAAAAATGTATATGAACTTGTTTGGTTGCAGTTTTTAAAATTTTATTTAAGAAAAGTCTCTATTTTGGGAACTGTTTTTAATTTTATAGTTTTCCAAAGCAGTTTTGTTGAGAACTATTTTAAAAAAACTGAATCAAAATAGGCCTACTCCTTTCTAAAAAACAGGGAAATTGAAGAAAGAAAAGAAAACTAAAATCAACAAAAAAGAAAAAGAAAAGAGATTATATATATATATATGGCAGGAAAAGCTTAGGTGGGCCATACTGTATCTTTTGAATAATCAATACTATAGGATCTTCCTTGCTTTATCATTTCTTTATTTAATTCTTCATATAGACCTAGGAGCGTCGTGTAGAATATCTTGTAATCTGATAGCTGATTGAAGTTGACATCCCACCTAGAAAATATCAAATTATTTAATACCATTATATATATATATATATAGATATATATATAGTTGAACAATAAAAATGAGCAGATTGACATTCGTCATTTTTTTTTCTTGTTATTCTCGTAGAGAAGGCAAAGTAAGAAAAACTTTCATGTATGATTCTAATATGTAAGATCTATGAATTAGGCGGTGTAGTAAAGCATCAATTCCGATTCATTCACAATGAAATGAAATTGTTCATAGAACAAAAACTTTAATTTTATTTATTTATTTATTTATTTATTTTTCTCTGTATCCAGATGTGGATTTTCATCCAAAAATGGACCACATACTTTACATTGTTCCTGTTGCAAATTGTATCTAAAATAACTGGAAAAGTAGAAACATGATCAGATATAATTCGATCATTATGAAAAATAGAATCTCGAGGCAACAAAGACTACGAAAGTTATTTACCCAAAAAAAAAAAAAAAAACCTACAAAAATTGACTGAAGAAAAAATTTCATTTAGAGCTCCAAAAATTGTTGGTAGTAGCTAGTTTTTGATGGGCTTTATGAATTAAGACTTCAAGTTAGTTTCTTGCCAAATATAAAATTATCTTCAATAAGAAACTCTAAAAAACTAAAAAGCAACAATTACATAATAAATTATACCTTTGTATTGCATCTGTAAAAGGTTTGAGTTCTTCAAGTGTACCATATGCATCATATGTATCATCCATAACTGAGACCATAATCAATGTTTTTGTAAATATGATCCACCCAAGGGAGTAACGGGGTTCAAAATAAGTTGCCATTCCCCAAAAATAGCACTCAACGACCCTGTCTCTTGCATAAGAAATTTTTGATGCAAAATCCAAATCTTTCCACCACCTATTTACAAAACAAGGGAACAATTAGATTTAGGACAAATATTATCTCTCTCACCGTATGGTGTGTCTTGTTATTGTTTGAGAACCTCTGAGAAGATTTAGAAGATTAGAGAAAGATTACAAAACAACAAACCACCTAATGTGTTATATAAGACCAATGGTATAACTTCTCTTCCCCATATTAAGAGGGTTGAGGGTTCAAGTCCTAAATTAGTTTATTAAAAATTGTAACTTTGTAGTATTTTGGTACTTTCTCGCCTTTCAAAGTAAAAAATAGAAGGGTTTTCTTGTTTTTTTTTAAGTTTCTATAAGGACAAGTAAGTGTGTTTCTAGCCAAACAAAAAATTACTAGATACGTTAATGTATTTAGACATGAAATATTTATAACCTATTTTAGAAAATTCTAAATTGTATTCCAGCATTCATATATATATCTATATATATCTACACATTACCTTGAGATGTGGCATAATTCTTGTTTGTGCATGGACTGTAACATATTGAAGTCCAACTTTGCAAGCTTCAGCAGCAATTCGTTCTTAGAAACGTCTTCCTGGTAGATAGAGATATAATGCCTTGCCTCTACTCTTGGGACACCCAGGTGGAGTGGTTGCTTTAGGGCATGCATCACTTGCTTGGCAAGAAAAGGACTTAATTCGGTTTGCATGGACTGAAGGTTAGTGGTTGTGAAAGCAAGAGCCTCATCAAGAATATCTTCTCCATGTATCCTCAAATGTGCAGCTTCATACAAGCTTAGCATACCCATTGCATCCTTGGTAAGTTTTTCATTGAATTTCCCATTGCAGTCCTTGAATTTGTTGAAGACATCTGATTCATAAGCCATCATACCATATCAGTCATCTTTATGGAGAGGAAGTGATTTTTCATGCTTTGATATGTGTAGATATATATATACACGTACATAGTGCCAGATTGACCGCACAAAACAGTATTTGTCTCCTTAATTACAAATAAGAAAGAACGGGCAGATATTGTTTGTTTTTTAGGTGGTCTAATATATATATATATATATATTAGATAACGGGAACTTACCACATGACATTTTATAACCATGCTGTCTGAACACTCGAAAATGAACAGCAGCTGTGTTCAGATCATTGTAGTCTTCATAATCTTCAAAGTGGGCATGGGAATGGAAGATTTGTTCCAACTGCTCATTAATCTCCTTCTCAAAGTGATAGGAGACACCGAGGCGTTCGAGTGTGTTAATCAATTTCATTTTCTCAGATGCTTTACTTTGTGCATCTACCAGCATACTTGTCACTTTTTCTTTCAGAATTTCAATCTCCTTAGCGTACATTTCCATCACCTGCATGCATAGCCAAATTACACCAACTTATGTAGAGGCCTTGATTATATGTCAATTATATATAACTTCTCTAGTTGCTTGTATATATATAATTTCAGCTTTGTCAATGCTCCAGTTACTAGTACGTCCTAGTTACCTATGATATATCTTCAATAAATTAAAGACAAACTACAAATGAAAAAATAAATTAAGAAAACTACTGAAAACAAAATTGAGGAATTAAGAAGACAGTGTAGAAAACTAAATAAAGCAGTGATAATATTGGAATGCCTTTCCGGCATTACACTATTTTTTCAAAACTTCGGATTACTCTCTAGCTCTCTCTCTCTCTCACACACACATTCACATTAAGTACGTGAATGTATATTGTACAGAAATGTTACCTGGTTATCTAAAGAAACTGAGCAGAAACGTTCACCCCATAAACTAGGGCTAAAGTTTCCTAATGGACGAAAAACCTCTGGCTGACAGTTAACTGGAATGCTGGCATTAGAAAAGGCCATTATGAGATAACAGATATGATCAAGTTTTATCTTATACCAAACACAGAATTTAAGGTCTATTTATAGGGGAAGTATGCTATTTTAAAATAATTATTATATACTCCTCAACCCTACAGAAAGTTTACGAGTTACTTGTTAAATGTGATACCACGGTCAATAATGAACCTAAGAGTATTTTTATACTTCAAGGATTATTAGTGTGACACTTTGCTTCACACTCTCTTGCCTTTAGTGATTTGGTGAATTAATCTGGATATTTTTTGTAATTATTTATTTATTTATTTTTAAGCATCACAGTTATTGTGATTAGAACATGTCATAATTGTTTTCTTTTTTTTTTTACAAATAAATCTAACTAGTAAATTTAAATATTATTTTCTTAATTGATCCGAATTTAACAATTATTTGGTGGGATACTTTTGGCTGTGTTTAGAAAAATAGAACCATCATGACTCATCTCTATCATCATTATTAACTTCTAAAAAAACGTGCGTTTTGTAGGAACCTTGCCGTGCTTAACAAACTAACACACTTTTATTGTTAATTATTGTCAAGCAGGCCCAGATGCTTTTAACTACCTAATTTACCTTACACTTACAAATTTACAAAAATACCTCCAATCCACTCAAATGACAAAAGAACAATGTGATGATCAAAATACCCTCAATGTAAATTTGCGAAAATAATCCCATAGCTAAAAAAGAAAAAGAAAAAAGTAAACCATATCCCTTCGTTATCATTGCATTTGTTTGCCCCAATCGGTCTTTTTAAATAGGAAAATTTTAAATAAACTCTACTTAATTATGTATATTTTAAAATATGTCTAACTTTTTCAAATTATTAAGTTTGAGTATCAATTTTATCAAATTAATTACAAAAATGTACAAAAATACTATTTAGACTCTTTAATGGTCCATAATATTCTTATCTCTTCCAAAAAAATTCCAACCCTCTAAACTCCATTGTTTCTGACTTAAGATGAATCAAAAATATGTCAGCTCCGATACACTAAAAAGTGATTCCGGCCCTGAACTTTGTATGGACATTATCAATTAGAATGTGCTGAATATTGAGGAGGTGAAGAAGTTTTTTGAATATTTGATTCAAGGCTAATTCTAGCACATGGTTGCTGACATGTAGTCGGTGGACACTAGATCTTCTTTTGAATTCATTACTTATTTCCTTTCAGGCTGTGAGAAGTCACTTGCTTCAAAGGTAGATAATTTGGACACTGAAACAAGGTGAGGGAAAACTCTTTGTAGATATGAGTTATTGCAACTAGGGTTGAGTAATGGCGGGAAATGCAAGATTCGAGTTAACTTCGTGTTGGGAAACGTGCTAGTTTTAAAAACTTTTCGAGGGATTTTGATTCATAAATCTTGATTCATCACATAGAGACAAGTTTTATACAAAAATAAAAATATGATGTATCATTCAATTAATTGATTGAATACTTACATCAAAGTTCTGAGTAAACCTTTAAATATTTCCTCTAAAGTTAATGTTCTCACTTATTGTAGATCCCTTAGCAAGAAACCTTCTCCTTGGATCTCCATCTTCTTGGTAATTGTTTTGCCTTTAGAAATCACTCATAAGCCTCCATGAATGACCTTGGAAAATTAGGCTTGTGGGAGCCTCCATTAGATGAGAACATAAACCCTAATTTTCTAAAGAGAGAAAATAAATTCATTTTTCCTTCTTCTAAAAATCATCCACAAAATATATATAGACTATGTATATTTATAGGTAACATAAAGGTAAAGAAAATGAAACAACGAATCCTTCTCAATCTCTAATTTACATGTCTCAAATCTAATATAATTCTAATATCAAGTTGGGCTATGAGTGAGAATTCATTGGCCCTATTATTTTATTGGTTACAATGAATTAATAATTGGCCCCGTCCATGGACCCAATTCAATTAATTCATAAATTAATTTCTACTCCACTAAAAGAAATTAATTGAACTTCAATTAAATAATAAATAACCTTTAAGTCAATATTGCACTTTGACCTCTCTATGCATAATTAGTTATCGGATAAATAAAACCATCAATCCAACTACTTAATTAATATATTTATTTTGGTACCTTTGATTATTTCTGGCTCGACCACAATAAAACATTTGTTTGACAAAAATAATAATTTAAATAAATAAATATATAATAAATCATTTTGTCTAAAAACACACGAAGGCATTTGAATTTACTTTGTGATCAACCATAATCAATACAAAATAAATACAAGTAACAATGATGCAAATATTGAAAATATAACCCTCTAACTATTAATTACATAACTACCCAAAGTGTCGTTCTAAGGATTCCGAAAAATTCGCCGAACAAATCAAAGTAATTATTAATTAATAAAAGAGTCTATAATTTTCTCATGCTTAAGAGTCAAATGCCATGACTGTGATAGGGAGCAATTGCATACAACGGCTCTCGCAATATATCTCAACCTAACGCGAATCCAGTTCAAATCTTAATTAATTATGAGTCCATCCATAATTACCGACTATGAACCATTTATGATTACTATTTATATATCATGCATTGATTGCCATCACATACATATATATAAATATTTCTTGTAATCAAATGGACACTATCAATTCTATAATGAATCGAAATATAATACATTGAATTCACCAATTGTATAAAACATAAATATTTCAGAAACGTCAGAAGCATATGTCACTTTAATACAAACAAGAATTTGCTATGCCAGGGCATATAAATCCCAATAGCTCCCACTTGCCCTCATAGCCAATTCAAATTGCACCTAACTCCAATGTTATCCAGATGATGATCAAAATTATTGATCAATGACACCTTTGATAATGGATCAATAAAGTTGTGTTCCAATGCAATGTTCTAGTTACAAGTATATTTTCTTACCGGACAATATCATGTAGAACATGATACTTCCTCTCAGTGTATCTTGTTCCTCTATAGAACCTTGAGTCATTGGTTTGGACTACTTCTACACTATTGTCGCAATATAGCTCGATAGGCAGGCTAGTATGCTCCACAACCTCTAAATTAGTGAGATCAAACCAATAGGCTTCCTTTGCCGCCTTTAAGGCTGCAATATATTCCACCTGCAGGTTTAAGTCAGCAGTTGAAATCTGCTTAACAATCTACCAACTGATTTCCCTTTCATTAAGTGAACATACACTAAGTCATGAACCTCATAGTATCTACTTCTGATTGAAAATCAGAATTAGCATACCTGACTAGGACCATATCATCACATCCATAAATGAGTATGATATCATTGGTTCTCCTTGGGTACTTAATGATATTTTTCACAACAGACCAGTTATCAAGTCCAAAATTGGACTGATATCTACTGACTATCCTTACTATGTAGCGAATGTCCTGTTTGGTATAGATCATGGCATATATGAGACTCCCATATGCCAAAGCATATAGTTCTAGTCTCATTTGCTCAATCTCCTCTGCTAGTCTTAGAAAACTACTTACTAGAGAGAACAATCCATATAAATAAAACAAGAACTCATTCTTTGAGTTATACATACCAAACCTGGTCAAAACTTTATCAATGTAGGATTATTAAGATAAGCCTATTTTCCTTTTAACCCGATCTTGCAAAAGCTTGATCCTAGGAATATAGCTTACATCTTGAAAAATCCTTCATTTAAAAGTAATTGAACAACTACCTCTTTATTGATGACAAAACTTCCACATCATTCTAAATGAGTAGGATGTCATATATAAATATAGAATCAGAAAAATAATGACATTTCCCTGTACACTCATGATTTATTCACTAAAAAATCTTCTGGTATCTTTTTGTAGATTAACTTGCCTTCCATAGGAATCACCCTACTAGAAAGTTCTACAAGATCCCAGAATTTATTAGAATACATAGATTCCAACTCTGATTTCATAGTAACTCGCCAAAACAATCTGTATCCATATCGGTTCACGCTTCCGTGTAGCTTACTGGGTCCAACTCATGTTTAACAGGGATATCCATAATGGTCTCACCTAAAAACATGATTCTGTCGGATTGGATGATAATCCTCCCACTACATTAATGTACCGATGCAGGAATCTGTGTACTAGATGATGCTGACGCATCAATAGAGAATTCATTTATTATTCTCAATCTCTATAATAAGTGTGTTCAAATGTGGTACATC